CGCGGGCGTGAAACAGCACCCAGCCACTCCAACTCCAACAGAGCCTACCAAACGCCCTGGTCATCGCTCCTCGAGCCTCCGCCGGGGGTCCAACGGATGGCGCAAGCCACTTGCGAAAAGCCCTCGCCCACCCAGAGCACTACGAGGCGTGCAGTGGCCGTCTTGCTGCGCCCCGCGCGGGCCCAGCGAAAAGCTGCCCAACGCGGCTCCAAACTGCACCTCTTGGATGCTTGACTTGGAGGCCTGGAAATGGGCACCAACACCAAAACAGGGGGTTGCCTCCACAGGGGGAAGACGATCCTGGATTTCGGTGCTGGTGGTAATATGTCGGTCACCTTGGAAGCCTGAATATTACCACCATCACCGAGATTGGGATCTTCATCCCTCGGTGGAGGCACACCGCCGACCTTGGTGTTGGTGTCAACCTCTGGGCCTGCGATTGACGGAACGCTTGACCTCCCGAAAATCCCGAGGAGAGGGGCGCTCAGCATGCTCGGACGCTGCGCGGCCGCTCCTATTGCCTCCCGGGCCAGAGGCGAACATGGGCAAACCACGACAGCCCGGAACGCGGCGGACGCCAAAGAAAGCACTCCAGATTTCGTAATAAAAGGGAGGGGGTCTGGACCCTCCAAGACAAGCCATTTCAGACCCCCCCCCGTGGGAGAACCCTCCAAAACATCGTCCCCAGACCCCCCAGGCCCTCCAAGATGGCCTGGAAGAGACCCCCCCCCGAAATGAGACCCCGCTCCCTTTATTACGAAATCTGGAAACAGAAACTGCGACTACTGTCGACGAAAATCAGGGCCCGAACCTGCACAACACAAAGCGGCAAAGTAGCTCCCCGTCCTTTTCCGGGCCAGCTGAGCGACGTAGGTTGTGCCATCCATGGGTTGCGCCAAGGGTTGCAGCATCGAAGGGGTTCGCAAGTGGTTGCGCCACTAATGGGTTGCGGCACTAGTTGCGGCATGGGTTGAGCCATCGGCTGCGCATGTGTTTGCGCACCACGCTGTCGAACATGGAATGGCCTGAGACTGGTTGCGCCATCGGCTGTCGAATATAAGACGGCCTGCTATTGGCAGCTCCATGGGTTGCGCACTTGGCTGCCGAAACTAAAACGGCCTGCTATTGGTTGCGCCCTGGGCTGCGCTAGGCTGCCGAACATCCGGTGGCCGACCGCTCGTTACGCCATGCCTTGCGGCCTGGGCTTCCGACATGGCACGGTCTTCCAATGGTGTCGCCACGCTCGGCGGCTGAGCATTCGAACACAATCTGCTGAAGGTTGCGCACGCGTCTGCCGAACATGAGGCGGCCTGCTTGTGGCCGCGTCGCATGCACTAAACTCAGCGGCTGGAAAGAAGACCCACTGCAAAAGGTTGCGCCACAGTGTGCGCCCATGGCGGCCGAACATAACACAGCGCGCGATTGCTTGCACCATGGCGTGCTCCTCGGCTTCCGGATGTAAAACGGCATGCGAATGGCTTCGCCAGAGGCAGCGCCCTCGGCTACCGAAAACACGATAAGCTGCTGTTGATTGCGACATCGGTGACACAACTTACTGCAGAAGATGATATGACTTGCTCACGGGCGCGACAACTGCTGTTCGTCAATTAGTCCATACATGCGTGTACCCCGCAACGGGCGATTTCTGGCTACTCGAGAGAAGTGCGCTATGTTTATCGACTCGGGCTCCCGGCGCCCAACCGTGCGCACAAACATGGCGTCTTAAATGTTTGACTGCACCCCGGCCCGATGGTCTGCTATTTCTCCGACATGCCCTCGGGCTCCAAAGGACCTTTCGACACGCGGTGCGAGGCTGAGGTTTAGAGATCCGCTACCTGGCGACCCGATGTCCGCGTACCACAGGGGGAAGTGAATACGGGCATCTCTGGGCAACAGAGGGCCCGCACAAATCCATATCCACTACCTCCCGAGATCCAGGGGTATCGGCTCCCCAGACGGTAAGCGCCTGCTAAATCGACTTCCCCACACAGCTGGAGTTCAAGGTGACGCGACGAACGCGAGACGCGCAGGAAAGCGCGCACGGAGGACCCTGCTCCGCTTGCGATGCTTGCTGCGATGCGACATCGGTCTGACGCGAACTCAGTATTGCGTCTCTGCACGCCGCGAACAATGAAACAACTAAAGAAGATGGCCTGGCGAGCGCACGTGCGTCCACGACCCCCTCCCTTGCACTGCATGCAACTGGTGGTTTATAGTGCACGCGCCAGATTGAGTACGCCATGTGGAATCTCAAGGTTGCGCTACTTGTTCGCTGCGATTAGGATAGTGTGCCACGAATGATACGTAAGCGGTCATTGGATGAACAACGAATGGCATAAACAACTGTCGGATGTCAGCGCGGATCTGTTGGATCTGCGCTGGATGCCCCTCCCTAGCGCGCGGAGCACGCCAAGAGGCGGCGCTGAAGGCCCCGCCAGGGGGGCCCAGCGCAGGCCCAAGAAATCTGCACGGACCTCCGAAACTGTATGTCTATATCCGTATGGTTCTTCCAACCATTGGGCCACATAAGATCCGAGCGGGCCGCGGACAAAATATTCCCGATGGATTGCGGGAAGAGTGAACTACTAAAAGACAGCGAACAAGCTATGCACAACACATGAGAGAACCAACTGCAGGATCCGCCACCGTGCCGCGGGGCACGGAATGGGCGTGTCCTCAGGTCCTCTGCCTAATCCTCTGAGCCCCACTCCTCACCCCTGAGGATTCTTGAAGGGACCCAGGGCTCGGGGGCGGCCAAAAGGGGGGTGTCCAAGAGGGGGGGGGGGTGCAAATCATGGCTGGCGGCATGTGCGCGGCCCAGGGGGGGGGCCAGGGAGCGCACTGAAATAAGAAGAGGCGCCACGAAATCTGGGGAGATATCATGGCCATCGCCATGATATCCCCCCCCCCCCCCTAGTCAGCACCCCCCTCTCTGCCGCCCCCGAAGGACCCCTCGCTCCCAAATCTCCCGGGGCCTGGCGCGTGCCGCCTGGGCTCCCCCACATCTCGGGGACCTGACTACCCACCAGACCACCCCAACCCAACCCGAAGACCCGAATTTCGGGTTGGGGGCGGTACGGGTTCCACACGTGTTTTTTCGATGTTTCCCGACCCCCCCCCCACTGGAAATCGAGGGTAAATCTGAGCCTTCGGGTTGGGTTGGGGTGGTTTGGTGGGTGGTGATCGTCTGACCCGAGTCAATCCAGACCCGGGTCAGCAGGAAACCAAAAACTGCCATGCAGGAAAACAAAAACTGCAACGCAGGTCCTCGCAAACCCGGGTCAGCCAATCGGCGCGGCCGCCTCGCGGCCACGAGCGGCTCGCGAACCTGGGGTCAGCCAGAGGGGGTCTTCGCAGGATCCTGCAGGATCCGGTGCCCTGGCCGACCCCCGTTTGCAGTGACCCCCGTCTCGAGGCTCCCGAAGATCTCGTCGCGCGACGCCTCCGGGCCCGAGAAAGCCCCACGACGGGCCGACAGAGCCTCGCGAGGCCCCCCCCCCAAACACGGTCCAGGATCGCTCCAGGATGCGCAAAATGGCCCCCAGACGGCCCAAGAGGCCTCCAAGACGCCTCGAGAGGCCTCCAAGGGCCTCCGTAAGAGGGCCCCAAGAGGCCCCAAAATCATGCATTATCCGGAAACTGTCGACAGATTTTGGCGCTCTCGCCGTTTCGGCTTCCTGACACTCCGAGACGGCCCTATGGGGCCCCCAAGACCGCCCCAAGATAGCCCAAGAGGTCTCCAAGAGGGCCCAAGAGGTCACCAAAACTCCCTAGAGGTGCCCAAAACTGTCCAAGAGGGCCCCAACACAACCCAAAAAGGGGCGCACGAGAGGAAACACCAAGCGAAAACCCGAGCCTTCCGCCCGAAGAGGCCCCCAGGAGGCCCCAAGAGGCGCCCAAGAGGCCCCCAAGAGACCCTCAGAAGCCCCCAAGAGATGCAAAAGAAGCATCAAGATGCCCCGAAACGGCCCCCAAGAGGCTCCCAAGCTGCGTCCAAGAGGCCCCCGAGAGGCCATCCACGAGATCCCAACGAACATCCATTAGGCTTCATACCCACAAACCAGGCAGGGTGGCGAGATGGGCCGAGGGCCGTTCGATAATTAGAGTACACGCATGTCGATGGCATCCCAGTCAACTCGGGCGCGGTCAGCGAAAACGGCAGAGGATGGGCCGAAGGGGAAGTATGCAAGGGTAGCCTTGGAAAGTCGCTCATAATGACTATGCGGGTTGACTGTATGTAGTCATCAAACTCAAGACATCCTCAAAAAGCGTAGTGGTGAAGCGAACCCAAGGGCAAGTCTGGTCAACATCGAATTTGGAAACCTCATCGAATCGGAATGTGCGTCGGAACGGGCCGCATCGGCAAAGAGTCGAACTCGAATTGGATCGGCATCACAAGGATGCTAAACAACACCATGTAAGCTTCGGGCCGCATATGATCACCGGGAAATCGAAAGCGAATCGGATCCAACTGGCCGAACACGATATCAAATCGTATCGGTCCCATCGAAATGGGCCCTGCCAAGGTCATGTTTTAACATAAACGTCCACGTCCACGAATCGTTGTATTGTCCTTCGAACCCTTGGCCCTTCACGTCACATGCTCTCGGGGCACCCGTCCATGCAATGCCACCAATAGCAATGGTGGCAATTGGGATGTTGCACTTGACTTATCACCCCCAATCGCACGCAAATGCTCCCCAAACGAATCATCAAAATGAAGTGTACGGGCAACTATGGACTCAGGCCACCTCAGAAAATATTTCGGGATACGTGCAAATGGTTGGTTTCTGAAAACTCCGCACACATGTGGTGACATTGTGTGGGACTCCCAGGTTACATTCGCGACTTGCGGGGTACCTGCAGAGCCCAAATGCTCCATCTGACAAGTACACCGAAGCTTCTCTCGATAAATCCGTTCGTTTGAATATTGGCGCTCCAACGGGGAATGGTGTGACAAAGGCCGAGGGTGGAGACCTGGAAGAAAAAAAGACAACGGCCTCTAGCTTTGTCCGGGTCACCAATGTACGAAAGCTCCCAACCATGCTCCTGGCAGAGCCGCTCAATAGCTGCCTGATCCAACTTCTGCTCGCCGTCGGGGGCGTTACACAAACCGTACACGAGGTGCTGGGGATCGACCACCAAACGCTTCACGTGTTTCTTAAGATCCAGCTCCCCATGCAGTTGCAGCTCTTTGTAATTGAAGCCCTCGATCTGACGGGAATCCCCAATGCGACGACGGGAGTCTTCAGCCGTTGCTACACGGTGGACCTCCCGAAGCTCTTCATCGCTGAATTCCATCAGCACATGTGCACACATGTCTAAAGTGCCAGTGTGCTCAAACCCAACACTCGATTGACCACTGTCTCGCGGTGTTAGGGTGCATCTGAACCTCGCCTGCTTGAGGATTGCATAAGACCTGCCATACATACCCTTTGCGGCCGCAACTCCTTCAGGGTCGTTCATGATGTCAAGAACCCCGTACTTCGGCCGCTCGAATGGTAGGGCGTCCTTGTAACATTCCCCGAAGAGTTTCTCTTCCCACCCCTCCCTAATAGGTAGAATGTTGAGACCTTTAGACGTTCCAGTCTCGAACTGGTTCCGGTAGTAGGAGTCCACCATGAGGTAGCGCCCCACTGTGTCGAGGTCAATGTGGATGATAATGGGAGCGTCCCACAACACCCACTCGAATATTTGCTCCAGGCCGTCCCTGTCGATGTCTAGCCTCCTGCACCTCTCCCGCAAATTGCCCAATTCAATCCTGTGGAGGCTCTCTGCGGAATCTCTCACACGTTTGAGTGCGTTCCGCTGGCAACCGTGGAGAGACTTCATCACCTGGCATTCCCAAGGAGGCAACTCGTCAGCCCAGTGCATCGACGTGGGGTCACTCTCCTTTAAGATACCGAGGCCGATCAAAGCCGCTGTAAGGTCGCGATCCTCAACAATATATCGCCGATCCACATCTACAGATTCCCTTGATACCCCCTCCTCGGCACAATCACCCTCTAATTTCAGCCTCACGGTAAACGCGCTATAGTTGATCCGTTCGACCTTGGCTGGATATGGCCTGGACGATCTCCCCTCTGGGTACACAGGGAAATATGCCCCCACAGTGCTGCCCTCTTGGATCTGGAGTTCCTGCTCACATTTGAACCTCTTCGCCTTCTCCAAGGTTTGAGACTCCTGGAGCAAGCGGATCCCAGAGGCCTCCTCGAGGAGAATTCTCATCTGCCCTTTGTCGTAATCCTCAATGCTCTGCGCCATGTAGTGCTGGAGTTTCGCTATTGCCAGAAGCTGCTGAAGCTCCTGTGGTCCGAAGGCTACCGTGGGATCGACAGCAGCGCGGACGGAGAGAAGAAACGAGGCCACCGTGAACATAATCGCTTTCCCAAACGAGCCGTTGTGCTCAACGCGCATCCAAAACCAGATCTGCAGGCCGCCCATCATAAGATCTTGTACAATGATCTGGCTCCAGCAGATGGCCGTCCACAAGTACCAGGCCTTCGTGTCTTCGGGGTGAAGCTGGAGGCCACCTGCAAGCACACTCATGTGCAAAATCTTGTACAGACACTTGTTGCTTCTGTCCAAACGCAGTGACAACACAACCAAAAACATCCAGTGAAATACCACAACTCCGAGCGTGAAGACGACCATCATTGCGCCCCACCAAGCCTGTTGGCGACCCAACATATTCGGCGCCGCGATTTTTGTCCAGACATGCCCCCTCGGACTGATCGACCCATTCTTTGGGGCGGGCTCTTCATCCCGATCCTTTTTTTATTGACCCGGGCGCAGAAACCAACCTCCAGAGGGCCAACACACTGGCCGTCTTGTTTTTTGTTCGAGCCGCACGGATTCTGGGAAGCTTAGCCGTGCTTCAGATTCTTGGTGCTGGGAGCCCTTGGGCAACGCCGCTCGTCTACAGCACGGCGCTGCTGACCCCGTGTCGAAACAAAACCGTACATCGGATCCCTGGGACGACGATGCCACCCTTGCCAACTGATACACCTCGCGCGCTTCTGGAGACGCGCCACTTGGGGGCTTCCAGCACCGCAGCCTAGCTAGGTGGTGGTAGCCATGAGCAGGGTCATCTCGACGGCCCTGTTTTCAAGCATCGCGGCTGACACTTCGCCGTTCGGAACGCGACCTCCGATCTGATCCAGGAATGAACTAAGAACCCCTCGGACACGTGTTCGTTACTTGATCCCTCACTCTTTCTCTCTCTCTCTCATTCTCTACCCCCCTCTCTTGACCTCACCAGAATTCATGCAGATCCACCCCGTGATGCAATTTGACATGGATACTCTTAGACCGGGGGGGGGGGGGGCTCACATATATGTTTACCTGTAGAGACACCCTTCGGGTGATGAGGACGTCGGGGGAGGGGAAAACTTTCGGATTGCGACTGCGCGTCAGATCAGGTTCGCGATCTCTCTACCCAGCGATTTTGAGGTCAATGTATATATTTTTAGATATCCCTACAGACATACATACAGACAGACAGACAGGTAGTCAGGCATACAGACATACGGACATACATACATACACATGCATACAACCATATTTGCGTAACGCATACATGCATATATCTAAACATGGATGTAAACATACATACATACAAACATACATACATACATGCATACATACATACGTATGTTTATCTACATCCATACAGCGTTCAATCTCCCGACCTAGCGGTGTCACTGTAAACCACTGGGTTCCCCTGCTACTGCTATGTATGCGTATGTGCTTTCATGTGTGTATATATATACACAGATGTTCTCTCCTCATTCCAATATCACACGTTTGCCTTGTGTTCGATGTGTCGGGCTGCTTTCCACCTCCGCCCTCCCCCTATTTACTTCCCACTCTCCGTCCGCATCGCTCTCGTTACGCTCCACCTCAATATCCACCTCCTTGCCCCCTCCTCTTTCTCCTTCACCTGCTTCCATCGCTCCTCGTCCTCTTCATCCTCACAGGTATCCTCCTCCTCCTCCTCGCCCCCTACTCCTCTTATAGTTCTTATTTCAGGAGCGGAAAGGGGTAGCGATACGAGGAGGAATACTGGCACGGGGAAGAGGAGGAGGGACAGGAGGAGGAGGAATTCAGGGGCTAGGATAACGATGAGAAGGATACACATGAATCCATGAGGAAGCATAGGATGAACACAAGAATGACGAAGAAACATATGAATGCAACACTGAAGAATAAACTGGTGATCCATAGCGTCCCAATCAAGAGGGAACCTATCAACAAATCTTGTTCTAATCATAGAAACGGAGGGTCTCACAGCCCCCCCGAACTCGAAAGAGACAAGACAGATATTCGGCTGCATCGCCTCTTGCAGACACGCGCGGGCAACCACAATAGAGATTATGTCCGAGTAAGCGTTGGAGAAACTTAGAGCTCCCGCCATGAACTCGATGGGCAGCATGGCCCAACGAATCTGTCCCCTGGCCTTGTTGGTCATGGCAAGCAGCACCAATTCGAAAATCTTAGAGACGATGTAAAGCCAGACCATTGGAAATACTCTTTCCCAAAGTATCCCTTGGTAGCATGTCGCAGCTTGCTCAACGAAACCGCGAATCCTGTCGGATCTTGCATGGCGCGTAAGCCGACGCGACTCAGCTCACACCCGTGTCGCTTCCTGGCAGGAAAGCCGAGAGTTGGGCACTACGGTGCACAAGTGGGGCAAAAGGCGACCGAAACTGCCTCCGAGACTGGAATCTTGTGCTGGCGTCGTCGGAATTGCTTCCGGGCGCAACTGCCGCCATAATGATATCATGCACCCCTAATAGTTCATGTATTAAAAGCTGCATCGAACAACGCGACGCCCCCCCCCTAATATAAAAACTAGAACCGCCTTAGCCCCCATACGTTTGCGATGGTCCCCCCCCCCCCCGAAAGCTTGTCGGCGTTACGAGCCCCGCCACAAGCAAACTCCCTCCTGGGTTGCGCCTTCCAAGGGCCCCACACCAGCCGTGAATGGCCCCGTGCCCCTCGCGTCACGCCTCCCCAAATCTCGCCCCTCTAGTTCGCAACGCCGTCGTACACTTAGCAGGGGATATGACAAAATCATGCTGGTAAATCACCATTGACGTCCTTGTTTACGCGGGGCCTCACTGCCGACAAAAACTGCGCTACACGGTGCCGTGGGACTCGGGTTGGCCTGACGGGGCCATCATAAAAATGACGAGACCCAATCTGAAACTTGACGCGAGCTCCCGCCGCAAACACCCCACGAAAACTGGACCGTCAAAATCCAGGGAATTCTCGTCAGAAAACGTCGGCCAACCCGAATTCCGGCTTACTTCAGTCTTACGTTTCCCCGAATCCTCGCCGTGCGGGTTGACAAAGACCAACCGACAGTGACAGGGCATGCCGGGAGCATCCCGCCTGGAGGCAAAGACGACGAGCGGCACGCCCCCGAGCCGGTCAGCTCACATGGAACCCCCCCCTTCCCCGTGCCAGAGCTAGCGGCGCGCACGAGGGGGTCCTAGGAGAGGGGGAGAGCTTCCCAGGAGGAGCCTGCCTCTTAGAGGGTGCCCGCCTTGCATCTATAGACACGTGGCCCGCGCCTGCTAAGAAGCAGCAGCATTCCAAGAAGCTTTCCCTTTCCCCCCCCCCTACCCCTGCCCACCTCTGCGCGCCGCCGATTTCGTTTGGGACAACGCTGGCAGTGGCAGGCAGACTCAGACAAAATATGTGATCCACCATGGACGCTTTCTTAATTGGCGGTGCGCGCAAGGGGGTGGAGGGATGGAGGAAGGCTTCTTAGAAGGAGGCTGCTTCTTGGAAGGCGCCGGCCGACACATCTGCAGACAGGGCCCGCACCTTCTAAGAAGCAGGGTTGCTTCCAAGAAGCCTTTCCCACTCCGCCCACCCCCTCTGCGAGTGGCTGAGTTAATCTTTTTCCTGGGCCGTGTTCGGCGGTCTTCGGACAGTCTGCGGCGGTCTTTGGCGGTCTTCTGACGGTCTTCGGCGGTGTCGGGCGATCTTTGGCGATTTCCAGCGGTCTTCGGCGCGAAAGCTGGACGGTTGCGTTCAACAACGGGTCCGCGATCGAACAACTCAGAAACAACTAGTTGTTTGGAAGTCTCCGTAAGAACGACGAGGGGCGATCAGTTTAGCCAGCTCTTCTTGCTTTAGGAAGAAAGCACGAATCCACACTAGGCAGGATGAAGCGGAATTGAACCTGCATTTAGTGGGATGATGCCGGTTTGGGACGCTTTTCGACAATGGATATACCAGCACCGAGCCTGAGCTGAACCTCCGAGGAATATAATACCAGACGCAACTATTTCGACCAGGATTCCAGCCAGTGCAAAGCGATAATGATGTCATGACGCGTTCGGCTAGTGATGCGCGCCCCAGGAGTTTCGGAGCATATAGCAGCCCTCGACTCTGCAGCCCCTGTGACCCTGGAGGCGCCACCCGGCACCGATCCAAGAAAGCAGCGCGGAGCCCCACAAGTTTGGGGTCATGAGACGCGCTCTCCTTTGATGCAGGTGAGATTGCTCAAGCACGGGCCTGGGCCACGAACTGAGGAGATAACCGCATCCCGGCGAGCCCAAGCGGGCGTGCCCGGAACCCCAGGCGCCGAGCGGCCCCGCGGGGGCAAGGCTCGCAGGGCGAGCGCAGCGGGGGAGGCCGCAAGCAGAGCCAGGACTGGAGAGAAGGCCCGATGGAGTCGAGCAGAGAAGACGAACAAGTACAGCGCTTCGTGGCCCCATGGGGAGCTCCACCTGCGGCCCCAGTGGGGGTGGCCACATGCGTCCGCCACACCCAGTACAGCGCTTCGTGGCCCCATAGGGAGCTCCTCCTGCGGCCCCAGTGGAGGTGGCCACATGCGTCCGCCACACGCAGTACAGCGCTTCGTGGCCCCATGGGGAGCTCCACCTGCGGCCCCAGTGGGGGTGGCCACATGCGTCCGCCACACCCAGTACAGCGCTTCGTGGCCCCTTGGGGAGCTCCACCTGCGGCCCCAGTGGGGGTGGCCACATGCGTCCGCCACACCCAGTACAGCGCTTCGTGGCCCCATAGGGAGCTCCTGGGGGTGGCCACATGCGTCCGCCACACCCAGTACAGCGCTTCGTGGCCCCATGGGGAGCTCCACCTGCGGCCCCAGTGGGGGTGGCCACATGCGTCCGCCACACCCAGTACAGCGCTTCGTGGCCCCATGGGGAGCTCCACCTGCGGCCCCAGTGGGGGTGGCCACATGCGTCCGCCACACCCAGTACAGCGCTTCGTGGCCCCATAGGGAGCTCCACCTGCGGCCCCAGTGGGGGTGGCCACATGCGTCCACCGCACCCAGTACAGCGCTTCGTGGCCCCATAGGGAGCTCCACCTGCGGCCCCAGTGGGGGGTGGCCACATGCGTCCGCCACACCCAGTACAGCGTTTCGTGGCCCCATAGGGAGCTCCTGGGGGTGGCCACATGCGTCCGCATGGGGAGCTCCAGTGGGGGTGGCCACATGCGTCCGCCACACCCAGTACAGCGCTTCGTGGCCCCATGGGGAGCTCCACCTGCGGCCCCAGTGGGGGTGGCCACATGCGTCCGCCACACCCAGTACAGCGCTTCGTGGCCCCATAGGGAGCTCCACCTGCGGCCCCAGTGGGGGTGGCCACATGCGTCCACCGCACCCAGTACAGCGCTTCGTGGCCCCATGGGGAGCTCCACCTGCGGCCCCAGTGGGGGTGGCCGCATGCGTCCGCCACACCCAGTACAGCGCTTCGTGGCCCCATAGGGAGCACCTGCGGCCCCAGTGGGGGTGGCCACATGCGCCCGCCACACCCAGTACAGCGCTTCGTGGCCCCGTAGGGGGCTCCACCTGCGGCCCCAGTGGGGGTGGCCACATGCGCCCGCCACACCCAGTGCAGCGCTTCGTGGCCCCATAGTGAGCTCCACCTGCGGCCCCAGTGGGGGTGGCCACATGCGTCCGCCACACCCAGTACAGCGCTTCGTGGCCCCATAGGGAGCTCCACCTGCGGCCCCAGTGGGGGGGGCCACATGCGTCCGCCACACCCAGTACAGCGCTTCGTGGCCCCATAGGGAGCTCCACCTGCGGCCCCACTAGCAGCGGCACGCGCACGAGCTCTCGGGGGCCCGCGGGGGCTTCTCTGGTCGGCGCTAGGCCCCCACGTTGGAGGCCGCTGGGCGGTCTGAACTGGTTGGGGCCCGAGGGTAGCGGTCGAAAAAGCGGCTGGAGCCAAATCCGCTCGAAATCGGCCACCGAATCCCTCACGGGGGCCATCTGGTGCAGGTTTCCACCCGGGATCGGTTTGTGGCGGTTCCCAGGCCCGAAGACGCGATCGGAAACGCGAATGAAGACTAACGAAAAGACCTCCCGAGCCCAGAACCTGGAACCTGCCCGCCCTTCCTGCTGGCGGGAACCAGTGCTGGGCCACCTCAGACCCCCAGACGGCTCCCATGATGGGCCGATTCTCCACCACCACCACCACCAGAGGTGGAGGAGGAGGAGGAGGAGGAGGAAGAGGAGGAGGAGGAGGAGGAGGAGGAGGAGGAGGGAAGGAGGAAGAGGAGGCGGCGGAGGGGGAGGAGGAGGGGGAGGAGGAGGAGGAGGAGGAGGAGGAGGAGGAGGAGGAGGAGGACAAGGAGGAGGAGGAGGAGGAGGAGGAAGAGGATGAGAAAGAGGGAGAGGAGAACCTCCCCACCCCCGTTCTACCTATGGTAACGGTGGTGGAAGAATGGCTCATCATCCCACCCCTGTGCCGGGAGCGCGCCGACCCGAGAACTGCTGGCGAAGCTCGGCGAGGCTCGACGAGGCTCGGCGAAGCACCGCCGTACCGGGGGCGTAGCCCTGAGGGGGGCGCTGTCAGCAGGGCGGTCTGCCGAGAGGCCCTCCAGGTCTGCCTCGGATGGGCTCCCTGAAGCATAGCGTGACATACGCGAAATGAGTTGGCTCCCGGATGGGCTCCCTGGGCTCCCTCGGATAGGCTCCCTGGGCTCCCAGATGTTTGACGAAATCCGAGCCCTACCTCCCCCTACCTCCGCCGCCGATCGAATTGCCTGAAACGTTTGCCAGCGAGGGTGGGCTTCAGAATGCTTGGCGGCGCACGAAATCGGGGCAATTAGGGTGAGGGGAAAGCCTTCTTAGAGGGAGGCTGCTTCTTAGAAGGCACCAGTCCTACACACATCTTTAGACAAGGCCCGCGCGTTCTAAGAAGCAGGGATGTTTCTAAGATTCCTATCCCCTCCCCCTACCCCCCTCTGCGCGTGGCTGAAATTCGCCAGGCACTTGACGACGGGTGTGCGCAGATCCGAGGGGGGCGCTGTCACCAGGGCGGCCTGCCGCGAGGCTCTGCGGATTTATCAATGATAGGCTCACTGAGGCACAGCGCGACGTACGCGATGTCAGAAGAAGGAAAGGCTGCGTAAGCAGAAACATTCGAAGAGACGCGCAGACTGCTTGGACCGGCGCCAGGCCCCGGCTGGCCTCCTGGCGGCACCTCCGGCGCAGCCTCCGGCGCGGTCCGCGCGCCGAGGAGGGGGGCCCTGTGC